CTAACAAGGATGAGTGACGTACTGGTACATCACTGAACTTTGAGTAGTTTCAGTTTTTACATGCAGCGGGATGACCCCCCCTGCCACCAATCTTCTACAGCTTTTCGGGCAGTCCTGTGCTATTGGGGAACCTGAGAATGCAGCCGGCGTTTCTGCGAGTTGACCATAGAGCTGATTGGAGACCGGAATGGCTCCAATCATCTCTATAGTCTAAGAAACTGGAACCTAAAGCTATGAGCATTTTTCACTTGCCAGATATAAACAGCACCATTTTTAAATTGGGAAAACATCTGATCACACCGATCTTGGTGAGATCAGATGATTTAAGGGCAGATGAGATATCTAGAGTTTAATAGACCCCAGATTTGTCAGAAAAAAATACCTGTCACTGCCTATTGCTATCACAATTTACATTCCTTGTGATAACAATAAAAGTGATTAAAAGCAAAAATGAAAGGGACAGTGTAAAAATTAAAGAACTCTCGTCCCCCCGTGTGCATGCGCAACGGCATATGCAAGCGTCTGCCTCGTGTTGGTATGTAAACATTGGTTGTACCATGCATTTGAGCGATTGCTGCAAATGTCAGATCGGGGGCAATTATTCTAGCACTACACCTCATGTGTAAATATAAGTAGTACCCTGTAAAGGTTTTAAAAGCGTCACTTGTACATATTAAAAATGTATGTAATTTGACGTTGTTGCACGGGGCGTGCATGGTTTTAAAGCATGTCATGTTTGGTATCTATTTACTCGGCATAACATCATCTTTTATATTTTTATCCAACAAATAGCCAATATATTGTGTTTTTTGTGCATTAAATCGCTGCACAAGTGCTGTCTGACATAAAAAATTGCAACACTCACCATTTTATTCTCTAGAGTGTCTGTTTTAAAATATTATATATAATGTTTGGGGGTTCAAAAGTAATTTTCTATCAAAAAATACAGATTTTTTTTTTTTCAGGTGAACAAAAAGTGTCAGAAAAGGCTTGGTCTTTAAGTGGTTAGAAGAGTGAGTGATGTGTGATGGTATAAGCATCCAAAGGGGTCATTGGATTTGGGCTCCTGTATGCTGCTAAGCTCCCAAAAAGTCTCACACATGTGATATCCCCATACTGAGGAGAAGTAGCAGAATATATTTGGGGGTGTAATTGCAAATATACCCATGGCATGTGTGAGCAAATATACCATTAAATGACAGCTTTGTGTAAAAAAAAAAAAAAAAAAAAAAAAAGCTATGTAAATTCCAGCATCTATACCATAGTTGGTAGGCACTATAACTTTCACAAAAACCAATTAATATACAGGTGAAACTCGAAAAATTAGAATATCGTGCAAAAGTTAATTTATTTCAGTAATGCAACTTAAAAGGTGAAACTAATATTTGAGATAGACTCCTTGCAAAGCAAGATAGTTCAAGCCACGATTTGTCACATATTGTACATAGAACAATATCGGACCTCTGAAAAGTATAAGCATGCATATGTACTCAGTACTTGGTATGAGCCCCTTTTGCAGCAATTACTGCCTCAATGCGGCGTGGCATGGAAGCTATCAGCCTGTGGCACTGCTGAGGTGTTATGGAAGACCAGGATGCCTCAATAGCGGACTTCAGCTTTTCTGCATTGTTTGGTGTCATGTCTCTTATCTTTCTTTTGACAATGCCGCATAGATTCTCTATGGGGTTCAGGTCAGGCGAGTTTGCTGGCCAATCAAGCACAGTAATCCCATGGTCATTGAACCAGGTTTTGGTGCTTTTGGCAGTGTGGGCAGGTGCCAAGTCCTGCTGGAAAATGAAGTCAGCATCCCCATAAAGCTCGTCTGCAGAAGGAAGCATGAAGTGCTCCAAAATCTCCTGGTAGACGGCTGCGTTGACCCTGGACTTAATGAAGCACAGTGGACCAACACCATCAGATGACATGGCTCCCCAAATCAACACAGACTGTGGAAACTTCACACTGGACTTCAAGCATCTTGCAGTGTGTGCCTCTCCATTCTTCCTCCATACTCTGGGTCCTTGGTTTCCAAATGAGATGCAAAAGTTGCTCTCATCAGAAAAGAGGACTTTGGACCACTGAGCAACAGACCAGGTCTGTTTTTCTTTAGCCCAGGTAAGACGCTTCTGACATTGTTTGTTGTTCAGGAGCGGCTTGACAAGAGGAATACGACATTTGAAGCCCATGTCCAGGATCCGTCTGTGTGTGGTGGCTCTTGATGCACTGACTCTAGCCTCAGTCCACTCCTTGTGAAAGTCCCCAACACTTTTGAATGGCCTTTTCCTGACGATCTTCTCCAGGCTGCGGTCATCCCTGCTGCTTGTGCACCTTTTTCTTCCACACTTTTCCCTTCCACATAACTTTCTATTAATGTGCTTTGATACAGCACTTTGGGAACATCCAACTTCTTTTGCAATTACCTTTTGAGGCTTTCCCTCTTTATGGAGGGTGTCATTGATGGTTTTCTGCACAACAGTCAGGTCAGCAGTCTTTCCCATGATTGTGATTCCTACTGAACCAGACTGAGAGACCATTTAAAGGCTCAGGAACCCTTTACAGGTGTTATGGCTTAATTAGTTGATTAGAGTGGGACACTTTGAGCCCAGAATATTGCACCTTTTCACAATTTTCTAATTTTCTGAGATTGTGGATATGGGGTTTTCATGAGCTGTAAGCCCTAATCATCACAATTATGACAAATCACGGCTTGAACTATCTTGCTTTGCATGTAAGGAGTCTATCTCGTATATTAGTTTCACCTTTTAAGTTGCATTACTGAAATAAATGAACTTATGCACGATATTCTAATTTTTCGAATTTCACCTGTACACTTATTGGGATTTTTTGTTACCAAAGACATGTAGCAAAATACATTTTGGCCTAACTTCATGATGAAATTTGAGTTTATTGGATATTTTTATAACAGAAATTAGAAAATATCTTTTTTTTTTTTTTTTTTTTTCTTTTCAAAATTTTCCATATTTTTTTTGTTTATAGCGCAAAAAAAAAACCCAGAGAAAGCTCTATTTGTGGGGAAAAGTTACATACATTTTGTTTATGTACAGCATTGCATGACTGCACAATTGTCAGTTAAACTAGCGCAGTGCCACATAGCAAGAGGTGGCGTAAATTCCGGTATCTATACCATAGTTTGTCGATGCTATAACTTTCACATTCACCAATTAACATATACTTATTGGGATTATTTTACCAAAGACATGTAGCAAAATACATTTTGGCTAAATTTATGATGAAATTTAAGGAAGAGGAGGATCGGGCTTGCTCTGTGCAAAACCACTGCACAGAGCAGATAAGTATGACATGTTTGTTATTTTATTTATTTATTTTTTTTTTTTATATTGCCTTAAATATCACTTTAAAGTAAATGGGTTGCCTTAGCCCTTTTGTTGACAAAGCTTGTTTTTTGTCCTCCCTGGAATGCGTATGTTTGGCCTGAATACTTCTTAAAACCTCCACAATACTAATATTATCAATAAGCAGGGAACTTGTAAAATCCAAAGGTGACAGCTGCAAACTTCATTATTTCAAGTGTGAAAAATACACTTGAAACCTGATTCCTGATTTTGTTTGGTCAAATTTAAAACATGAGACTGTGTCAATGAAATAGACATCAAACATGTCAAGCTGTAAAATTGCTAGATATGCAAAACAAAAGAAAAAAAAAAGTAGACAAAATTGCCCATAGGTGACACACTATACACAGTTTTATGCTTTAATCAAACTAAATAGGTTTTATTTTAGTCTGTTGTACTTGTTACAAAAAGTAATACACTCTGCAATGTATCTTATATGGTATTATATAATGCTTAAGTTCATTTACTACTTTGCCACTTGACAAAACTGTCTTTTCTTGGCCCTTTCCCTGTGACATCACAACTCCTTAAAGCCAGCTATACATGGATCGACATTTGGCTGGTTGAGAAAGGACCGGCCAAATTTCGATCCATGTATAGGCAGGTTGATTTTACCCAAGTTGATCCATCGATCGATGTAGGTACAACCGACCTGTCAGATTTCTTTACATATGATTATTGCCAACGGCTGTAGCCACTAGGAGTAATTGTTTTCTGCTGGCCGGGAAGGCGAAACTCCCACACCTACCCACCAGCAGAGCACAATAGGTCTGTAGGAGGCATTTCCCCATCAACACTGACTGCGTTGATGGGGGATATGAGCGATTTTCTTGATTTTCTTTCCTTCCAACCATGGTGGAGGGAAAGAAAATACAATTACCTATGGGCTAAGACGTTTAGGTCTTTAGGCTCATTCTACTAGAGCCGTGACATCCTCCTGGGTAGGTCTGGGAATGTTTCTGTACCAGTGAAACAGATCTGTAAGCTTGCTGCCTAAGACACTAGAGCACTAGTGTCTGGATATAATCTGGAAAATGAGGATTTGTCTTTTGGGCATAAAGTCCTCTCTGCTGTTGTCCCAACTCAAACTAATATCTCCTTATGTAACAGTTGTAGGGTTGTTGTAGAGGAAGGGGGAAAATGCTTTGTTGCTTACCAGTATTTCCACAACAGACACAATATATCCCACCTGTGAAATTGGTAAGCAAAGTGTGAAGCTTGAATGTTTGTATAAACTTTTGTCCAAAAAGTCTCCATGCATTCAATGACTTGATGGATGTCATTCAAGATTACTCCAACATTTTGTTTGCTTTTAAAGTTTTATTTTGATAATCGAGGAAATGTTCTTATAACAAACATTTTTTAATAAAATCCTGTTGGTGTATAGCTAGCTTAAGGCTTTCTTTGTGCTATCTGTTTCAATTGCAATAAGTTGGTTATCAGTAGATGGCTCTGTATGAATTGTGTTCTTAATAAGAGAAACGTAGAAGTTTTTCCAACAACAGCATACTGTATAGAATCTTTATTTTTTATTAAAAAAAATCTCTGAAATTGCTATGCCATGTCAAGTGCAATAAAACAGCTGTGTGTGGAATACTGAGTGTACTTTTCTTTTTTTGTACTTTCCAGTCAACCGTAAAAGATGCAATATACATTACAGTTGAAATTTTATCCAATTGGGGAAATTCCCATTTTGTGGGCTTGACTGAAGTTCAGTTTTTTGATTTGAAGAATCAGAAAATATATGTGTCCCCTCTTGACGTAGACATAAGGAATGCTGATTTTCCTGGAGATCTTCGGTGTTTGGTCAATGGAAAAATAAAGGTGAGTGCTGCAATATTCCTATTCTTATTGGTAAATGTACATTATACCACAACTTGGAGGGTGGTGGGGAATTGTTCTTTGTTATGTTAGAAAATAATTATATCAGTTGTTGATTTTGAAGGTTTGTTCGAAGGAAAGTCTAGATTTTCTGTATTGACCAACAGTTCCTTGCAATCCCCATTTGTACTGCATGTTATATTAAAGTGGTTCTAAAGCCTAAACTTTTTGTACCTTAATGCATTCTATGCAGTTAGATAAAAAAATGTTTAGGCATCGGTATTGGCCCCCTCACCCCCCCCCCCCCCCCCCCCCCCCCCCTACTTACCTGAGCTCTCATTCGATCCAGCGTTATGCACATCTGCAGCTCTTCTCTTCCCTCACTTCTGGGTCTCACAGGTTTTACTAAGGCAGCAGCAGCCGCCATTGGCTCCCACTGCTGTCAATCAGCAGGGGTCCCGCAGTCTGTCAGTGGACGCAGCAGAGGGGCTTGGGAGCGAGCCCGCACGAGTGCCCCCATAGGAAGCAGCTTCGCTTTGAAGGCACTTTGGCGAAGAGGAGGAGCCAGGAGCGGCAGCTGGGGACCTGAGAAGAGGAAGTTTGGGGCCACTTTGTGCAAGAGCAGGTAAGTATAGATATGTTTGTTTAAGAAAAAAAAATATCCTTTACAAGCACTTTAAGTATTAGACATTTTGTTATAGAGCTCTGGGCATTTAGAGGAGCTACAGTCTCTCACCAAAAAATTTAAGTCAGCAGCTACATATACAGCAGCCTCAAATAGTGTAGTTGCTGACTTTGAATAATAAGGAAAATTACCTGTACAGGGATCCAGGGCTGTCCTCATCAGATCCGATTTTTTTCAATCTGCTTCGTATCCAGGCACCAGCATCTTAACTGAGGGAAACTGGCCATGCGTGAAGTCTTGCGGCTTCACAGCTGATTTCCCATTGCGCCTTGTGAATGGTCACATCTGGGACAGAAGACTGCAGGGTAAGAAGGGGTAAGGCCAACTCTCAAAACAAGGTACCCGCTATCTACTCCCCCCCAAAAAAAGTGCCAAATGTTGAAAAGATGGGACGGATGCAAGCAATGCAAATTGGATAAAACCTTACAAAAGTAAGAGAAGTAGGGGTTTCTTTTTTCTTTCCCCCAGTTATACTTCGCTAGGTGGATGCAGCATCAGTCCTATGCTGCATCTGTCCCCCACCACCTCCTAAGGGTGAGAACTTTACTATGCCTCCCCCCGCACTCACTAGGGCGCTAGGCTGTGGAGGGGAAGGGAGTGGCTGGATCAGGCTCTTAGCACATTGCAGAGAGGCTGAGCCAAGTGCCGCTCCAGGCTCTGGGGTAGATCCTGGCTTTGAAGTCAGGATCTTTTCCCAGCCTGGACTAGCTGAGTGACTTCAACTAAAACGGGTCACAGGAGTGCAGAACGAACTGCACTCCTGTGATCCACAGGAGTACAGCCAAAAGAGCTTTAGCTGTACATCTTTTTTTTGTTTACAAACGATTTTATTGTACATAAGTAGACAGTAAAACAACAGCACAGTATGAAAGTGATATTGTCAACAAAAATATGGCACATTTGAAACGTACAATACATAAAAGTATATTAACATAAAAAAGAAGATAGGGGAAGAAAGAAAGTTATGAGTGCATGAGATACATAAATGATAAAACAGATTGAGTGATACAGCTATCAACAATATATGTCAGCCATTCTTTACCGGGGATGTTGTTAATCATGCAATAAATGTCTACAATCCTTCCATGACTCCCATTTTTTATCGTATAAGTGCATCTTATCCAGTAGTGTATAATGAATACGTTCCATAAGCATTACAGCGTCAATTCTGTGTAAAACAGAGTCCAAGGGTACAGCATTAGACCGCCAATGCAGGGCAATGGACCACAAAGTGGCAATACATAATGTATGTAGCAATCTCAGAGTGGCATCAGAGACCCCTGGGATATGAACCCCCAATAAACAGGTCCGTAGAGACAACTGTATCGGGTTGCCCGATAGTGAGGTAGCCACCTCAGATATCTTACGCCAGATCAAAGATATGTTTGGGCAATCCCAAAACATATGGACCAAAGTACCTGTGCGGCCACAGCCCCGGAAACATAAAGGGGATGTTTGTGGAAACATTGTATGTAGTCTGGACGGAGTATAATACCATCTGGTTAAAACTTTAAGGGCCGTCTCACGAACCGAAAGAGATCTAGAGCTCTTGCATATATTATCCACCATGGAGTCCCAATCCTCATCCGAAAAAGTGATACCACAATCCTCCTCCCACCTCTGCCTGTACATAGGAGGAGCATGAAAAAGACAGATCAAAAATTGGTGATAAAGATCTGAAATAAGACCCCTACCTCTAGGAGAGTCACGGCTGACACGCTCAAAAAAAGAGATCGGAGAAGATGGGGTAAGGCCAAAGTGCGCATTAAAAAAGTGCCTAATCTGTCTATAATGAAGGTACTCACGAAGAGGAACATCAAATAGCACGCGCAGCATATCGAAGGTAATATAAGATCCTCCTCTTTGGAAATCAGACAATCTGAGCTGTACATCTTTTTTAACACGTAACTTCACTCAAAAGGGAAAGTTCCACTTTAAGGTTTTATCATATTTACGTTGTAAAATAAGCCTATTGATTTATTAAAAAAAATTTATTTAAGGTGATTCATTGTTTTTTGATCTACAGTCTATGACTTTGAAGCTGTGATATACAGTATATCACATACAGTATTTATAGTGTATCCTATTGCTAGTTATATAAATGTAACTTGTTTTATATATGAAATAAAGATCTCAATTAAAAGATTTTGCTTTATAATTGTCCCCTTCAGACTACAAAGGAACATTTCATGTGGATGTGTCCTTTCCATCCTCCTGTGCAGCTTTACTTTGTTATCCGAAATCCTACTCGGTCATGTGATTTTGACATATGCAAGGTGAAGATTTGGAATTATAACAAGATGCTCGGTGTAAGTAACAGCAGTACATTATTTGTTTGCCCTACCGCTCCTACTAAATCACGTAGTTATTTTTTCAGATATGAAGGCAGATTTACTTTGTAGCATTGTATTCTAATAACCTGCAATATATAAAGCGAAAGGTAACTCACTGTGTAGAAATACTTTATTTAAAACATATAATGTGTAGTATACCTGTCTCTATATTAAGGGATTTTGTGTGTAGTTAACCACTGAAACAGGTACAATTTTGTAGATAATAAGCTGTCAATTACAATATGTTGTATGATTGGAGTACTTCTCCATACATTGCTGTTTTGTCTTTTTTTTTTTTGTTTCAAGTGGGAGGGGGGACGGGGTCTAGTTATAAATATTTTCAAACAAGATTTGGGCAACTTTTACCCAGAATTTATGTGAATCATGTTATTTATTTTAAATGGACCCATCAGCGAAGTCCATCCATTTTCCTGCATTCACAAACAAAATACATTTAGGTGTATGTTTATTAAACTGAGATGTTTCCTGGCTTTACACATCACTGCCCTTCACAGCATATCAAGCTCTCAGAGGGGAGACAGTTTATTTTAACATTTGTAATTCTCTTTTCTGAGAAGAGAATTGAATGAAATACATTGACTGTGTAGTGAGATTTTTTCGCCCATGATCTTGCCAGATAAGGGACTCAAATACCCCTGAAATGAAAAATAAAATATAAAAAAATAATAAAATAAGATTTAAAAAGTGACATTAAAGTTAATAAAAGATCTATGTAAGAGGAAGCATTCATAAATACTTGTTTTATGGCAAGACATTCCTGTAACTGAGTGTATTTACTGTGTATTTACTGTGTATGTGTATGTATGTATATATATATATATATATATATATATATATATTTTACTGTAAATACAATCAAGTCTCACAGACATGTCCTGATATACCTAAAAAACACAATTATTTATGCATGGCTCCTCTCACATATACATACTGTATATGTACAGTACGCATACACTCCGCAGCCACTTTGTTAGGTACACCTGTTCAGTTGCTTGATAACAAATTGCTACTCAGCCAATTACATGGCAGCAACTCAATGCATTTAGGCATGTAGACGTGGTGAAGACAACTTGCTGAAGTTCAAACCGAGTATCAGAATGGGGAAGAAAGGGGATTTAAGTGACTTTGAATGTGGCATGGTTGTTGGTGCCAGACAGGCTGGTCTGAGTATTTCAAAAACTGCTGATCTACTGGGATTTTCATGCACAACCTTCTCTAGGGTTTACAGAAAATGGTCCAAAAAAGAGAAAATATCCAGTGAATGGCAGCTGTGTGGACGAAAATCCCTTGTTGATGTCAGAGGAAAATGGGCAGGCTGGTTGCTGCGACATTCAGATGGTATGGTCAGAATTTGGTGTAAACAACATGAAAACATGGATCCATCCTTCCTTGTATCAATGGTTCAGGCTGGTGGTGGTGTAATGGTGTGAGGAATATTCAGGTGTGTGTGTGTGTGTATGTATGTATGTATATATATACAGTGCTCACCATAAATCAGTACACCCTTTTTGAAAAGAAAGTTTTTAATCAATATCTCAATGAACACAAGAACCATTTCCAAAATTTTGACAAAACTGAGTTGTATAGAACATTTGTTTAGCTCAGTACTTGAAAGTTAGGTTAATAATATATCTTGGATTACAATATCTTCAGTTTTGCTCAAATTAGTTAATGCAAAAATGAATACACCCCACAGCAAAAACTACATCTAGTATTTTGTATGACCTCCATGATTTGTAAGGACAGCATCAAGTCTTCTAGGAATGGAATGAACAAGTTGGTGACATATTGCAACATCTATCTTTTTCCATTCTTCAAGAACGACCTCTTTTAGAGCCTAGATCCTGGATGGAGAGTGATGCTCAACTTGTCTCTTCAGAATTCCCCATAGGTGTTCGATTGGATTTAGATCAGAAGACATACTTGGCCACTGAATGGCTTTCATCTTGTTCTTCTTCAGAAATTCAACAGTGGCCTTAGTTGTGTATTTTGGATCATTGTCATGGTGGAAAAGTGCACGACGACCAAGGGCAAAATGATTTTTAGCATCTTTTCTTTCAATGTAGAGCAGTACATCTGTGAATTCATGATACCTTCATTGAAATACAGCTCACTGACACCAGCAGCACTCATGCAACCCCCCAGAAGGAAACTGCCACCATCCTGTTTCACTGTAGGCACCATGCATTTTTCTTTGTACTCCTCACCTTTGCAACACCATACAGTTTTGAAGCTGTCCGTTCCAAAAACATTTATCTTGGTCTTGTCACTCCATAGTACAGAGTCTCAGTAATCATCTTTTTTTCAGCTTGGGCCTGGGAAATTCTAGGCAGGCTTTTTTGTGCATGGGCTTTAGGAGAGGCTTCCTTCGTGGACGACACCCATGCATGCCATTCCTGCCGTGTACACGGTGTTGTGTCGTGGGAAACAATCACCCCAATTTGGCTTTCTACTTTAGCGAACCACAGTGAACTTGCATGGCGATTTTTTTTCACCCTTCTCATCAGAAGACGCTCCTGTCGAGGTGTTAATTTCTGTGGATGGCCTGGACATCTCTATGAGATGGTTGCAGTTCCATCTTTGTAAAATGTTTGCACTTTTTCTACAATATTCTGATAAGTAAAGCTGTTCCTCTTGTAGCCTTCATCTTTCTTGTGTAAAGAAATTTTCTTTCTTGGGCCTTATGACGTTTCTCTTCAATGTGGTGCAATTGCTGACTGCATGAAAATGGGAAGGGGTTTTATTTAAGTAACTCCCTTTTAAAATCAACTGTCTGCTGGACACCTGTTTAATGAAAATTAGACTCACCTTTAGTGGATTCTTGTAAATAAGGATTTTGTTGTCTAAATTTTAGCTTTGCAGCTAAGACTTTCTTTGGGTTGTATTCATTTTTGCAACATGGTCTTGAATGAATTTGTTAGGAAAAATACTTTTTTTGTATGTGCAAATTAACAAATCTTGTTGGCAATCAATGGCCCGCATTTGTGCGAGTATTTTGTAGTATGGTGTCCCAGAGAAAATGATGATCCTGAAAGGAAAGGAAAGGTTTTCTGACAAATATGTTGGGAGTGAGATAAATCATACAGGTGGCCAGTAAGGTGCTTACTTTATTAAACTGGCCATTTGTATAGGAATTACTGGCAGCTGAGAAGCAGAGAACATTATCTGCACTCCTCATCACAGGTTATTAAACTGCTGCACAGTGGATATAATCCGGAATATTCACTATTGCTTAATAAAAGTACACCTTTCTCTTTTGTTAACTCATAGGGGTGGATTTAATCAAGGCAAATAAACTGTGTAAGTGCAGTTTCCACACACAGTAATTGTGGCAAAGCTCTGCTGATTTCCATCATCCATTTATGTTCAAGCAAAAATGTTTTTTTTTATTAATTTATTTATTTTCCATTCACCTTATTGAGTGTTCTTTACAAAGCCAAGCTTTACCACATTTACATTTATTAAGGAAAATTAATGCAGCTGCACTTGCAAAAACCTCAGTCTATTTGCCTTCAGTAAATCCACCGCATAATGTTGAAAGGAAACTTCTTTGTAAATCAGAGATTGTGTATATACAAGAGTAAAAAATAAGCTATAAAACAAAAGTTTAAGCTCTCATTCACACGGGCACAGAGAACCATACACTAAAAAACTAGCATATTTCTGTTCACCTGAGTTGACATGTATACAGCGACTGGTGTGCATCCATGGATGCAGACGGTTTGCATCCAAGGGTGTTCATCTGCTCCTGTAAGCTTTTAAAGCCCAGATGTGTGATTACCAGCATGCAGCAGCAGCCTGTCATTGATTTGTACAGAGTGCTGCTTGCAGTTGTATGCAACAACCTGTATTCCCCAGGCAGAAATATACACTTCTATTGATGGTGTATTGTGGCAGTGTGAATGAGCCGTATATCTTATAAACATTAAAAAAATACCAAAATCTATTACAGTTATTACAGGTGTTTTTAGATATTTGTTAAAGTATTCAGCTTAATGTAAATAATCCTGTGAACATACAGTCACCGGCCACTTTATTAGGTACACCTGTCCATTTGCTAGGTAACACAAATTGCTAATCAGTCAATCACTTGGCAGTAACTCAATGCATTCAGGTATCTAGACGTGGTGAAGACGACTTGCTAAAGTTCAAACCGAGCATCAAAATGGGGGAAGAAAGGAGATTAAAGTGACTTTGAACATGACATGGTTGTTGGTGCCAGTTGGGCTGGTCTGAGTATTTCATAAACTGCTGATCTACTGGGATTTTCACGCACAACCATCTCTAGGGTTTACAGAGTATAGTCCGAAGAAAAAAATATCCAGTGAGCGGTAGTTGTGTAGACTAAAATGCCTTGTAGATGTTGGAGGTCAGAGTAGAATGGGCAGACTGGTTTGAGATGATAGGAAGGCAACAGTAACTCACGTTGATATGGACCAAAATCTTTGAGGAATATTTCCAACACATTGTTGAATCTATGCCATGAGGAATTAAGGCAGTTCTGAAGGCAAACGTGTGGGTCCAACCTGGTACTAGCAAGGAGTTTCTAATAAAGTGGCTAATGAGTGTATATTAATTTTATTAAAATAAACAATTTGCACATTACATATACATAGCTTCTTTTCTGCTTCATAGTGCTGTACAAATATGTTGCTTTGGGCTGGCCATACCGTTGCTTGATGTGGTTCCTGATATGACATTTGGGCTGGTAATGGGCATATCTTGGTGATTAAAACACATTTAGCCCGTAGAAGGGAATTTTCCAATTTTTTGGGGAAATTAGCACACAACCTGGTAATTTATTTCTGCTCTCATTGAGAAGGGAGTGGACATAACGAATGGTGCATACACCACTTCATACACCACTTCAGCCTATCAGGTGAATTGTACAAGTACAGCAATGGGTCCTGATGTGATCAGGGGCACGCTGGTGTCTCCCCATCATGTATTTGCGC